CTAGGCAAAAATGCTCATGCTGCCGTGATCAAGCCATTGGATATTGAGAAAATATAAAAGACAAATATTATAGTTTTTTTTTTTTATAAAAGACAAGCAGATGGGTGAATCAACGAGACACTTTGTTACTATCAGTGCCACAAGCATTGGTGGCATTTATATACATTACATTATGTTACTAAAAATGAAAAAAAAGGAGGACGTTCAAAATAATTTAATTCACATTTGTTGTTTTAAATAATTAAGTAATTAAGTAATTTAAAGTTGTAAGTATCAGTGTGTAAAAACTGAACATGTTGCATTGTAAAAACTGCATTGTAAAAACTGAAGTGTTACATTGTATTTAAAGAGCAAATAAATACCTATAATCACAAATATCCACTGTATTTAGAAAATATGTTTTCCATACGAGTGCACTAAAAGTATATACTGGTTACGTAGACACTATCAAGGGATAATAATGACAAATAGCTTATATTAGCTTATATAAGTAGGTAAAAATTCTTTGAAGTGTGTAACATATAATTCTTAATAAAAAATTGGTGGAATGATAGAAAATCTGTTTTGTTACAAGTTTATGAAACAATTGTTAATACTCATATTTAATTGAAGTATTTTTAATTAGTATAATCATATAGTAGCAATTACATAACAATCATAAGTAATTATAATAACAAGGAAAGGATTGCTGTTAAATAAAGAGCTCAATAGATGGCGCGCACAGCAAGGGAAATGGCGTCACATGGTGCTATTTACAATATTTACACTTGACACATGTTGCTCGGCTAACCTGGCTGTATGATACAGGCGGTATGTTCCGCTTCACTACACTATCTACCTAGGGTGAAGTGGTGAAAGGGTGAAGGGTGGTTAAAGGGTGAAGTGTAGTGAAGTGCTCGGCAAGTTTTCAACTACAACGGTTACCGTATTATTACAGTTAACAAACTTGTATAAGTACAAGTTGTCATCTGAGCGCACCTAGTCAGCAAGCTGTTGGTGTCCCCCTTGCTATAGCAAGTTACACGAGAAAGAAATGATCAGTCAAATTCCTTGTAAACTTCGATCGTTTGCCAAGCTGCATTTTTTGGTTGGGAAAAATGCAGGAGCGCTTTTCCAAGCCAGTCCGTCCAGACGTCAGTCCACGTGAGTAAACAATGACAGTCGAGGGTTTTGGGGTGGGCCGTACCATAGCCAGCACAGATGCCATGTCATTTACAATATACAGCACTAGCCTGACTATAAAGGGTTAACATCAATATCAAAAAAGTTATTAACACTTGTTTGGGTTGCATTTTTTTTGGGTCACCCTGTACCTGTGATATGTGTGGTCACGTTGTGTTACGTGTGTATTTACAGCATAACACCATTCAAGCTGTGTTAGACAGAGGGGAGAAGCTAGACGACCTAGTGGCCAAGTCTGATGAGCTGGGCATGCAATCCAAGGCTTTCTATAAGACGGTGCGTTCAATTTTCACTATCACTGTCACATTTATAGCCTTCTGTGATATGTAATTTCTAACATGTATAATGTGATAATGCCAGGCTGTAAACTATGTGAATATTGAGAATGTGGTTCTATCTGTAGGTGGAACTGGTTATAAATGTGGTATTTAAAGTTTTGTTATGTAATCAGACTCTTGAAGTGATGTTACAGGAAAAAAGATGTTGCTACACTAAACAGTGTTCATGTTTACCAACATACGCTTTGTAACAGTTTACAAGTGTCTTGTTATGCCTTTGCTAGTTTTCTCAGTAGTGGTGTGGTGCCATACAGATATGCATTTGTATTTATATACTGTAATAAAGTGTGATTGGCTAATTTACCAAGTCGATTTGTTGCATTTAACCATGTCGCAAATACACATTCACTTTATTTTTATAAGCGAAACTTAATCAGAATTCTTGCTGCAATCAACATGTGTCTTTAATCTGCTATTGTTATTTGTACTTGTTTTTCGTTTCAGGCGAAAAAGACGAATGCTTGTTGCAAGTATGGCTAGGCTTCCACAGGTGGTTACAAATGTCAAAGCTATTGTACAGAATTTCCAATGAGGCATACACTGGGAATACACCTGATTCAACTCACTGAATTTTAGCTAGTGAGTGAAAACTAGTTGCCAAGTTATTTTGCTATAAATTGACAATTCCCAATTTTCCTGATAAAGCTGACGTTGACCTCACCAGACAGTCTGCAGAGTCCCATGTACAGTCAACCCTGTGTAAATGCTCACCTCGATACAACAAACACTTGTCTATAAAAGACACTTGACATTTCCCTTGGGTGACCCATATTTACAGCTTTGACTGTACACGCATATCTTGATGACGTCGCTTCTGCTGTCATTCACAACCAGATTTCGTTGAAGATAGATCGATCAGCTGTATTCCCATCTTACTGTCTTAATAGCAATCGACGGTGATAGGCACCTCATATTGTGTTTCTCATGATTTCTGTTTGCTCATGTAATATCCACTGGTAATCTAGACTGGCTGTAATGGGAGAGGTTACAGTTTGGGTTGGGACAGTGAATCAGATGTAAAAGTAGTGTACGTGCATCTCACATCTATATATAGCAAGCAGGAGTCGAAATTAACATGTTTCCATTTTTCCGGGACAAGGTCTGCCCGAAAAATCGAGTTAACTAGGCAATTTTACGGTGGGAAACAGTTTGTTTATTATCTATTCAGTCAGTATTTCACCGTTACGCTCTCTAACCTTGCTGAAAGAACCCCTAGTGTAGAACCTGTGGCTAGAAATAAGTGGTATACGCCATGCTCATTGTTTATCTGGAAAATCGCAAACTTGTACAGAAAAGGAGATTTTGACTAACTTTTCCAGGGCAAAAGTCGCAAATTTCTTTTAGTTTCAATCCATGACTACACGTGTGAAGCGTTATAGTGAATGAGTTGATTCTCAGTGATGCCATAGAATTATTAAATTTACTGACAGGAGAGAGGCCCCTATATAAAGAAATAATGTACGCTTTAATTGTGGAGCTTGTGTTATTTTTTGCCCTCAACATATAGTGTCTTGTCTGATTTAATCAGTGGGTGCTTGATGTATTTGTCTAATCTAATGCCAGAACTAATGTACTAGAATATTGAATGCAGACTGCATCTCTTTTTGAAGTAAAAATTAGTAATCGTTAAAAATTGTGCCTTATTTTTCCTAACTTGTATCAGGCCATTATCTAGAAGCAGCTTAGCTGTAATTCACATTTTTGTGTTCACAACATGGTGACAATTTCTGGTCTCTATATACAGAGGAAGAGCTCCAATTTTTTTCTTTGTCTGTATATGAAGGGAAATCTCCAAATTTACTCTGTAAATATAGGTAGATTTCCCATCCCGACGTCCATCTATCTGGAAGCATTTGCATTCAAGTGTGAAAGGAAGTAGTGCGTCAAACTAACTGGCAAGCTAAAGCAATGTGAAATATAGTGCTTAATGTGCTCACGTTGTCGTAAATAGTAATAGCTTATATTTTAACAATTCAGTGATGCATAGACAGATACTCACATATAATAGCATGTTAACATCCTGTGGAGGTAAACAACAAATAGCAAAACGTACATAATTCTCACGCTCATCATTGTGAATCGTGGTTGTTGGTGCGGTAGTATTAATGTACATACTCCTATTTGAATAGCTCGAAAATTCTCGTGTGCTCTCTGTGTATGTATGTGGGATCTTGCCCATGTCATTTCAGCCTTCGTTATTTATCAAATCTGCAAGGAATCACTAATGGATTCAGTATTATTATCTGTAATGTGTTCT